GGATGCATATATTATTAACCGTTATCGAATAACAATTATTCGTAAGACAGTTTTACGCGCGCCCCCCAGTGGCACAGCGGTATGTCTGTGGACTTACAATGCTAAAAACCGGGTTTCGATACCCGTGGTGGGCAGTGCACAGATAGCCCTTTGTGTAGCTTTGTGCTTAACTACAAACAAACAAACAGTTTTACGCAATAACTATATTCGTTTTGTATTGGTAGATGCGATTACGCGACGGAAAGGCGCCATTTGGCTTTGTGTTTGCTTCGAGAGAAGTTACAACATGAGCGTTCCTGTCAAAGAAACAAAAACATAGATGTTCCTCTGGCAAGGTTATTAAACTTGATATACACAGTTTGTTAAACAGTAGGGGTGATATAAGGGAACAAAAGAGTTAGAAAAATGGATCGCATATAAATAACTGTTTAACCATATTCTTGACATTTTACCTACGTTATCACGGAAAGAATCACAATAATATACTCAAACATAAGACACCGTGCACCAATATTTCAAATGTAGCAGTAAGCGAAACTTGAATCGATATGACGTCTTTCGGCCAATCATATCGAATAACCAATACGCAAATATCAAATCATTTTACTACATATATTTTGTGTTGTCGTTCTTTACGTTCAATATTGTTACGACAACGGAAGTCACGTGACGCTGCTGACGCATGCGTGACTGAGTTTCTCGAATTATGAGGGAACTCCGCGTGTTTTCGAGACGCCTCTTTATTACTGTATAAGCCTTACGAGAAAAGCCAGCGGTATTGTATGTATGGTTAAGCGAACAGTAGTCACGTTCGGGTGATTTACGATTCTGTTTCGAGCTAGTGTGTGTTTTGCACTCGTAGAGAGCGAGGTTATCGAGATTGTGAAGTGACGAGAAACGTACTGACTGTGAAATTACTGTGTACTACAAAGTTTGTATCGAGAAAAAATAAACTGGTTTAATCAAGAAGGGACTTGTATCGCTGAAGTTCCTCGAAAAGAATTTATACCGGAAATTAACAAACAAGCAGATACGTAACAATATATTGAACAAATAGGAGCACTGGTTTTCGTCTATATGCAGTGATTTTAATACAATTTGTCTTTATGTTTGAAAATAGCAAGTTACTTAATAAATATTAAATTATAAGTGTAATAACGAAACTATTAGACAACTGAATATGTATTAATTAGGTGTTATAATCAGACATATCTGTGTACGTGTAGCCATAAGTTCTTTCAGTATCAAACGAAAAGGTACACTGAATATT